CTCCCTTTATTTTATTAGGGGCTCAGGCCAGCCTTGCCAGCAGGTTAATGCCACCTCTCCTCCCCATCCCTTCATCCCTCCTGTGACAGCAGCACCTTCCTGACACTCTCAAGTGGTACCCTCATTAGCTGATGCCACTAACGAGGTGGGAGAAGTACGATCCAGGCCTGGTGTTTTGCATCTTATTTGTAGTTTTGCGCGGATCTTGCTCTCAAGAGCACTTGCTCCCGGGTTTCCATCCCGACATCATCGTCTTTATTTCACTCAGGAAGATTGGGGGGGGGGGTTATCTTTAATTTAATCTTCTCCTCCTCATTTATTACTGCTTCTGCTTCCTCAGCCTCCCCTGGCAGGGCTGAGCTGCCCTTCTTGCTCCCTGCCATCCCCCTGCCCAGCTCCTGTGCTGGATCCTCTCCCCATGCTGAGCAGATCCTTCCAGCTCTGTTTATCCGGGTGTTTGCAAGTCCAGTCTCTGCCACGTCCCCCAGTTGAAATTCCCATTGTCCTTGTGGAGGAGAGAGGGAACTGGAAGGGATGAGATGGGGATGGGAATGGGATGGGGATCCCTTACAGAGATGGGGATGAGGATGGGGATGGAGATCATGCACAGGGATGGGGATGGAGATGAGGATGGGGATGAGGATCACTCACGGGGATGGGATGGGGATAAAGATCACTCACCGGGATGGAGATGATGATGGGAATGAGAATAGGCTTGAGGATCACTCACAGAGATGGGATGGGAAAGTTCACAGGGATGAGGAAACCTGGCAGGAATGAGATGGTGCAAACCTGGGCTGGGTGCCCTCAAATGCCCCAGGACAACCCCATGGATAACTCACCCCAGGGCAGTGTGAGAATGCTGGGGGGCTGTGACACCACAGTGTCCTTCAGGATGTAACATCCCTCATGCTGAGCACAGGGAGGGGACGTGAGTGGTCCAGGGTGGCCACTGTGTCATTTTAAAGTCACCCGCTGGCGCTGAGCCCTCGGAGGCACCAGAGGCATCAATCTCCCAGGGCCAGTGCTGTCAGCTGGGTATTTAGTGAAATGATTCTTAAATGAATGCTTGATGGAAGAAGAGGGATGGCTGCAACGTACTGAGCCGCAAGGTTGTCCCTGCTGCCACGCTGGCTGCCAGCTTCCAGCACCTGGCGGGGGGTGGCTGCGCATAACCTACTGGGGAGGTTTTGGGACCTGCTACACCGCATGGCTGTGACCGTTCCCTCGTGGGGATGTATTTCAGAATAAGTCACACCCGTGATGGGGGAAACCCTGGGCAAAGCTCCAGGCAGCTGGTGCAGGTAAGGAGGGAAGGGAGAATGGGAAAGGCTTTGAGACCCCCATGTAACTTGGGGAAAGTGGGGAAATAGCCTCTCTGTCAGATGAGGCAAGACTTCTGCTTCAACTTGATTTTTCTTTGTGAAAAATTGAAATGAGCCTGTTCTTGTTCTTCCAAGCAGATGCAGCCTGGGATGCTGAGAGTGGCAGTGACTTCACTTGCTCCTGCCAGAAGACTGAGCAGGTAGACAACTCCCAGAGACCTCAGTCAAGGACCTTCTTAAACTCATTAACAGCATAAAAAAAGGATCCATGAGAAGGGAAGCCTGCCCAGGAAGAAGTGCAGTAACTCAGGGTGGGTTCCAGCTTTTTGAAAGGGGCGCACAAGAGGGGAGCAAAGGCAGAGCTCAGTCCCAGAGGCACCACGCAAAGGTGAAGCCATCCCTGACCTCACCCAGCTGACCTTCAGCTCAAATCCTCAGTGATAGCGGCAGGAAGGGGAATAAATGGAACAAAATCCGGATTACAGCACCTGTGCATCTGTGACACAGGCGGGTGCTGGTACCAGGCTGGTCTCTGAGGGGCTTTTCTTCCCTACAGCCAACGCTGAAGTCAGACTCCAAAACAAAACCCTTGGCTGAGCAGTACGACTGTTTAGAAACGGCTTCCATGTCTTCCTCACAGCATCCATAGGGCTTTATCCTCTCTGTACACACCACCTCAGCAACCCTCCTTGCAGTGAGCTTTGCCTTCAGGACACGGCTGTCAGGGGCCAGGCTCTGCTCCCATCCCACTGTTGGCACGCAGGCGATGCTCACCAGCAGCCACCAGCACTCAGCTGTGCCACACCAGCACAGCCACCTGAGGTAGTGACATGGGCTCCGCCTCTCCAGGGTGCTGGGAGCTGCTGCCCCAGGATGCCTGGCAGGATGATACCAGGACCCAGTGGTACCTGCTGCCACGAAGCCAGGACCTGGGGTACCCAGGCCAGTAGTTGGCAGCATCCCCACAGGGCTGTGACATGCCCAGTGTCCCCACAGCAGGTGATCCTGTGTCTGGGTAGGAGCAGGACTCCAGCATTCCTGTTCCAGATCCGGGCTGGTGCTCCCCAAGCAGCAGCGGCAGCAGATGCCAGGGGGAGGCTGGGAGGGATGATGCTGCCTGAGGGGATCAATAGGGGAGTGAAAATTAATGTCGAGGGTGAAAGGGTGGGATCCTGGCTGGTGAGATCCTGGCTGAGGCCACGTCTCTTTCTCCAGGGCCACATCCCCATCAGGGCCACCCGTGTGCTGGTCAGCAGTGCCAGCTCACTCTCCTCCGTGCCCAGAGAGATATTGGCCCTTGAGCTGTTGGGGCAGCAGCTCCCAAGCTCTCCTGGACAACGGCTGGTCCTGACGGTGTGTTGCATGGTCCTACACCAAATCACTTTGCCCTGCGTCCTGCATCCTGTTGCAGGGTCCTCAGCAGACTGCGAGGTCCCACTCCCCACGCATGGTCCTGCACCAAACCATGTAGTGCTGCAGCCTGCGGCACCATCCTGCACCAGACCACGTCATCCCGCAGCTGCTGTGCTGTTCCGAGTCCCATCATACATTCATGCAGCCCACCACCCTGCCCTGCACCCCATCGCACAGTCCCATACCCCATCATATGGCCCTACACCCTGCTGCATGGTCCTGCCCCAAACCACAGCACGCTGCATCCCCTGTGGGGTCCCGCACCCTACCACAAGGTCAGGCACCCCACTGCATGATCCTGCACCCCACCACGTGGTCCTGTGCCTCACCATGTTCTCTTACAACCCATCACACAATCCCATACCCCATCTCACGGTCTGGTACCCTACTGTGTGGTCCCACATCCCATCACACAGTCCTGCACCTGCGTGGTCCTGCATCCCACCAGCTGGCCCCACACCCCATGGTGTGGTCTTTCACCCCATCACGAGGTCCTGCCCCCCACCCAGTTCCCACACCCCACCATGGGGTCCTGCACCCCATCACAGCTCGCCCAACATCCCGAGCAGCCTCCAGCAATTCATCCTCCTCTCGCAGGGAAACCAGGGTGGCTGGAGAAGCTCCACCTGCTTTTTATTTTATAGCATCCATATATTATCCCCTTCCTGGTGCTCTGCCTCGATGGCTGAGTGAGCATCGCTGGTACCAGCCAGAGGTTTTGCTCCGGAGCTGCGCCCTCCCCACTAGCAATCCTCCCTCCTAGCCTGTTAAGCCCCTAGTTGCGCCAACAAGACACACATCAGGCTTTTAATTACAGCCTTGCGTGGCTGCTCTGGAGGAGGTGTCAGGGCAGGGGGAGAAGCACTGAGCTCGCCAGGTCTCTGCTGGGACCAGGGCAGCCCCGGGTGCCACCCAACACAGCGAGGCTGCCTCTCCCCTTCCTTCTCCCTCTTAATTTCATTTTCTTCCCCCTTTTTCTCATCAGAAGACAAAGGATCAAGAAGAGGGAAAGGTGGAGGGACACAGATGGCTGTGCCAGGCATCAGCTCATGCCAGCAGTGATGGATGAGGATGGATGTGGCCAGTGGGGATGGCGCAGGGCAGGCAACCACTGGCCAAGGAAGGAATAAGGCCCCCACGTCCCCAGGACATTGTCCCCAAAGAGCAGGACCCCAGCTGGCTTTGACCCCAGAGGCCAGCGTTTCATGTGGGCATCCTGCAACCGGGACCCAAACCACGTGGTGCTCTGAGCTCCCCGGGGTGCCCAGGAGCAGAGATGGGGTGTCCCATGGGCTGCTCCCCTCATTCCCACCAGTCTGTGTCCATTAAGTGGTGAGCCAGAGCCGGGTCAGTGCTAACACCTGTGTGCCAACCCCAAGCACCCATCCTGTGTGCTGGGGTGCCCGGTGCACCCCGACATCACTGGGGTGAATGAGTGCACCTCCCTGCTTCACCGCCCTGTGCACATACACCTCCCTGGGCACACACACCCGCATGCAGATGCCCTTCCCTCGTGCATCCACACCCCCGTAATGCAAAAGCACCCCTTGTGCAAATGCAAACCCCTTGTGCAAGCACACATCCTACGTGCAAGGGCCCTTCCCTTGTGCAAACACGCTCCCCATACGAGCCCACACATGCAGGAGCACCCCAGGCCCCCGCCGCTGGCCCCAGCCCTGCCCAGGGATGTGCCAGTGGCTCCCTTGCCCCCCACTCCTCCCCTCAGCCCCCCGAGGCACCCAGTACCTGGGCAGCACCCAGGGGTGCAGGGGGGCAGCTGGGGGTGCGGAGCAGCCATCGGGGTGGCAGCCCATGAGTTACAGAGGGGGGGCCCTCAGGTGCTGCCTGGTCTCCAGCATGGCAGGACAAGGCTGGGATACCGATCACGTTCCCCAGAGCCAGACAGCCACGCCAGCACCAGCCCTGCCTCAGTTTCCCCATCCATTCCCTCTGACCCTCCCTCCCCAAGGCCTTTTCCTGGCAGGTTTTGCCAACCAACACCGTGCACATTTTGGGTGAGCACCGAGTCAGCACCCCAATCCCCCCCAGGGCTCCTGGCCCTGACCTGGCCATCCTGTGACCCCTCCACCCTGTGGCAGCAGTGACCCCTATGTCCAACAGGTGCTGTCCTGCTCACAGTCCCAGCTTCTTGGTGTTTTGTTTTTTTTTTTTTTTTA